CGTTGTACAGTGAAGTAACTGATTACAAAAGATGTCCTAGTTCTAGATTAAAATATACCATAATATACATAAAGCTTTATTGTTCCTTTAGGTTGTTGTTTTAAGCTAAAGTGGAATATTTTCTAAAGTCCTCAACAACTGTTTACAATTCAGAACTAAATGTGCTTTCTGCTTTTACTAGTGCTGCTGAAGAAATGTACCTAACAGACCTGTCACTTTTTTGTGCAATTGTTTTGGTGACATTATTTTCATTGGTGAATGTACGAGCTGATAGAAAAGGAAATCATTAGGTGCTCTCGGTATTGCTGAGGCATGGAGCTAGAACAGGTCAGTCACTGCATTTTCCGGATTGTGACATTTTAAATTACCTGTACACTACTGGAAGCAATCTGTGGACCTAATTAACATCTCACCTAATTAATTGGCAGGACTGTATATAAAGAATTCTAGATAGTTTTGCATTGCCTTTATTAAATACCATGTTATTCAAATTTCTATCTCTAATTTCAGTATTGAAACTTCAGATTTGTGTGCTGTTTTCTTAAGTGGGAATAACTACTTTTTTTCTTCTCCTTCAAGTAATCAATGCACTGCTGAATGAGTTCATTTTAATGCACTCAATCATACCTCTAATGTTTGTAGCTTACGGGCGCAAGCATCAGTAATGCAGGAATGTTATATGGCTTTAGTTTGGGCCATTTCATAAAATATTCATGGAATCAAAAATGTGCATCAAAATAGCGGCTGAGAGAATTACATTTATGTGCCTGCTTTTATGGCAGCTTCACATTTAAACCCATTTGTGTTAATATCTAGTCAATCTTTCTACTTAAAAAAAAAAAAAAGGCAAAATAGTAGTCTCTATATATATCCTTTTTTGGTTTGATATCTATTTTGATATAACAAATGTATACTTTTGGAGTGGGTTTTAGGAAGGGGAATAAAGGAAGTTTTAGATAATGCAAAAACATTTCTCTTCAGTATTTACAAAATTACACTGAGTTCTTTTGCTTGAATGAACAGATTTATTTTTTTGACTTCTAGGCAACTCAGTGAAAACTGTAGCACAAATCTTTGTGCATATGTACATAGTTGCTATGAAAATAAGAGTAATTTCAAAAATTTTTGCGGCAATGTCTTACATTCATATAATTGTTTAAAACTGATTCTTTACTCCCAAAATTATGCTGTGACAAGGTTTACCTCCCATGTTTAAGATTATTGCTGGTAGGGTTTCTTTTGTTATACCCTGAGCTACATTAAACTATAACATTTTAGTAGTGATAGTATGTATGTTATAAGAGTTAAATTTCTGGGGTTTGGTTCCTTTTATAAACAGAGAAGAGGTATCAGAGATTTTCAAATTTCATTTAATATATACTGAGCTAATTTCTGCATGGCAGTGGGAAAAGAAATATGCAATTGCTGTTAATGCTGCCAACTGAAAAAAGCTATACTGCTTTGTGTAACATTTTGCAGATAGATTTTTTTTCAAATATAGATTTCCTAGAAACACCTTCTGGATTTTCTCTTTGAATTCCTAGAGATATAGAAAATAGATTTCTACAAACTATTCCAAGTGATTTTCCTACTCACTGGCTGTTTAGTTGGTTGGGTTTTTTACTTCCAGTTGATAAAAGTAATTTAAAACTCTGCCTTGTCACTGCTCAGGTGAGATAAAAATATTCTTACTCTCAGAAATGTTCTGTAATGGGTTTATTACTTTCTTTTCATGTTTTTGAAGTTTGTCAGACAGCATCTACCTATGTCTGCACCTAACAGTTTCAGTAGTTCAGTGTTTAAAAACTGGGAGGCACTGGCCAGGTCAATTCCAACTGAACTAACTCATGACAGTGAATAAGCTTGCCACTACCCGGAAAACCTTTTTCCACAATACTTGACGTTCACATAAACATTACGGATTAAAGAAATAGGCTGATGTGTCATTTGCCAATGAGAACAAGGGATTTCAGATTATTTTGATGGAGAAATGAATTCCAAAGTCTAAAATGTTTTACCTTCTATGAATCTGAGAGCTCTCCAAATAGCTACTGTTACTTGAAAGAGTCTTTGATAAGCAAAATCCCAGCCATGTAAGGGCTTTCAGGGCAGGAATTCCATCTCTCCCTAATTAAGGAAACTAGCAGTTATTTTATTTTTTTTGCTCAGTATCTTCTTTTTGGTATTTTTCTAAGAAGCTAGTATTACTTTTTACTTCATAATCTTTCTTGGTAGTTTAGTGAAGCCAAATACAATTTAGGTCCCATTTGAATGCAGCCAAAAATACTGTATTGCTTTTCTATTTTGAGGCTTGATGTAGATGGATTGTTTCTAAAGAGGTTTCACTGAGATCTGGCAAAAAGGATATCAGGTCACAGCTCTTATAGTTAGGTCAACTCTTAAGAACTATAGGGTACATGGAATATATGAGTTCAATTTCTAGTCTGACAGAAACTTTCTCAAGGGGATACCGCAAGTGAGGACGCATGGGTAAAAATTACCATACCTGATAGTTCTAACAAGCTAAACAATAGTTCTGAAGGTTGCACATATATTTATCTAAATGATGTGTCCTGTTAAGAGATTATATTAGAATCTTAGGAGAAACTCAGATACTGTGTTCAGTTTCCAATTATATATCCAAGTGATACCATTCATGTGTTTGCTGCTTCCTCTTCTTACTAAAAGTTTTTGATTTTACACATGAGTCAAACTCTACTATTATAAAGAATCCATTACACACATAGTGAAACTAGATCACTTAAATGTATGGCAGTATCATTTCAAAAGGACAATCAGTTGATTAATAAACTTGGTGGGGTGGGGTGGGGGGTGGAATTCCAAGAAGAAGTCTGTGTGTGCTTATGAGTATCCAAGTGGATAAAATACTAGATCTAGCTATTAACATTAAATTTCCACTCAGTTTTCCGTCATTTGTCACAAAGACAATACCAGCTTCTTCAATTAATATGTTAAATCTGCATTCAGCAACTTGGATAACTGGAATTCTGTTGACTGCTGAGTTGGACTTGCCCTAAGAACTTAGCTGTACTGGATAGGCAGAAACCTAAGTTCAAATTGGAAGCCTCTTTAGGATGGACTAGAGTTTTCATCTGGTTTTAACAAGTCTCTGTTTCCTGTTACAGGTACTGTCAGTGAATCCTTAAACAGCTTGTACTGGTCATGATAATTTCACTTTGCATTTCTGTTTGCTCAGTCTGATGTCAAGTGTATGATATTTTGGAAAGAATGCATAGATCTTTTCCTGTCTGTTTACAGGGTCTGATAGCTACTCTGGCAATAAGATTTTTTTCTGACATTTTGGGACATCTGTCTGATTCCTGTCCCTAGCTAGAGTGGAACTGAATAAAGCCTGCTGTCTCCCCTTTCAGCTGATGCTTCATTCTTCAGCCCTTTTTGTTGTCTCCTCTGTGAGTCTTACATGAATCATAGGTTGCAGAGCCTTAAAATTATTTGTCTATGAAACTCATTTAATTAGCTGCTTCTTTGAAAGTTTCTCCTGCTTGTCAATTTTAGTAGAACTCATTTTAATAATCAGAGAAGCTTCATATGAAAATAAATTTAACTAATAAAGATAAGAGTTATGTTTTATATTGCAAAGTTGAAAGCATAGTTGTAAAAGAGTAACATATGCAAAATACCAATCTAAATTAAGTTAATAAGAGGAATCAGTCATAGCTGTTCTGCTGCCTCTAGGTTGGCTGGAGGCCTGGGGAACTAGCCTCATTTTCTCTCAGAATGCTTAAAGGTCCTTCTCCAAGCGTCTCTCCCTTCCTTTCCTACATCTGGGAAACAACTTTTCTCCTTCCTGGTTCTTTCTGTAATTTGAATGCAGCACTGTAAAAACAGTTTGCAAAACTAATTGTTCCTTATAAATCATGTTTCAGAAGAGGTGTAAACTGCAAATGCATTCAGCTTTTAATAGAAATAGCAGTTGATAAATTGGTGATCTACGGGGCAAGATTCCTCCATAACACACACACAAAGTTAGGAAGGAAGGGCCATATTCACAGTTTTCCCAGCTATAGAATATTTTTTGTAAAACAAGGTACTGGTGACTAGAATGTTTGGGGTTTTTTTATACGTAAATGATTTCTTCTCATCTTATCTGTCCCAGCCCTTTTTCTGTACCCATTATGGCTAAGGAAAAGCTTTTCTGTTCTGTCAAAGGATTTGAATTTCCACTGTCTAGAAAACATGGAAATCTAGATTGCGTGTATACATGGAGATAAATCTAGCTGAAGGTAGAGGGGAGGGAGGAAATAGCATGGTAAAATGAATTGACCTTTATCTTCAAACTTTCATTTACCTTAAAGATGTTTGAACATCTTTGAAAGTTTCAACTTACATTTGAAGACCTTAAAGTGTATTACTTCAGGCTCAATAATTAATCTGTTAGTGGTTAAAACCCTTCCAGTAAATGTACTACATAAACTCACCAGAGTTGGCCTAGTAATAACTGTTTAATAAATTACATTGCATAATAATCCTTCTTTCATCAATTAATGTACTTAAATATTCCCCTTCAGTTTTGATACTATTCTCCACATTTCAAATCTTTTAGCACAGGTTTTCATTATTGAAAAAGAAACTTGAATAGTTTTAATTGTGATTATTTATGCATAGATGTGATTTTGAAATGAGAGATCCACAAAGGCTATAGTCATTATCATTAATCTATAATAGATGTATTTTCTAGAAAATTCTGACTGCATCCTTGAGATCCCACACCCCCAACACTGTGAATCTACTAAGGAAAGCTAATTTAAAATGCAATAAGTCTAAATTACAACATTACTGGTAACTGTGAGGTTTGGCAGTATTTTCCAGTGATCTGTAAGTTACATATTGGAGATTCTTGAAAAATCTGTGAAACAATTGGCTGCAACTTACTTTCTAATGAGAAAATTATTATAGAGTAATAACTTTTAAAGATTTTGTTGATTACGCTGATTGTAGTTATGAATGACATTTTTCAGGTCATGTCATGAAAGCTGCTGAGCATTATGAAGTGTTTTATCAGCTAACAGAAGGTTCAACGTGGAAGGATGAGACAGGCCATACTTACAATTCGCTGGCATGTGAACATCTCTGGAGAATTTATACATTACTAGCAGACAAAATGCTAGAAAATAAAGAACACGACCAGGCCATCAAAACGCTAATAAAAGCTTTAAAAATGGCAAAAGAGGGTAGGTGGAAAATAACACTTTCACATTCCTTTATTTGATGTGCATGCCATGATTTTCCCAAGAGTAAAGTAGAAATTCTGAAGTGTTTGACTGGGTGATTATTTCCTACGAAATTCAAAGACAAATGCTATCAATACAGTTCCAGATCTCACTAAAGCAGAAATGCCGTCTTGCAGACAACAAAGAATCTTTTTGATTCCTGAAAGCTTTATCTCCAAGAAAACAACCTTGTGGGAATAATAGTATAAAACAGTGAACACATAATCAGAAAGTGAGGTCACTGATGGAAGTTCAGCTCACTGGTTTTGATTGGCTAGTCACTGTTTATTTGGCAAATTTTGAGTGATATTATCTGCTGGAGCACTACCTTTTCACTCTACATATTTATTTAGTACTTGCAAAAATAGGGTTTCTGTCATAAGCAAACAAGATTTTTTCTGTATATCTTAATACATGTAAATACTTCGAAACCTGAACTAAAAATATACAAAATTGCAGAATAGCTGATGTGGGAAGAAAGACTTCTGGAGATCATCAGGGTCAGCTAGAGCATGCTGTCTAGGACTATATCCACTCAAGTTTTTAGTATCTCCACAGGTGAAGACTTCATAACCATTCTGGAAAATATTTTCCATTGTTCAGATACCCTCACAATAACAAAATACCCTAGATCAGGTAAAAATAAAAATAAAGAAAAAGTGATCAAGCCAAGTACGGTGATTCTGTCACACACAGTAATTATTCATGCATTTATCCAGTATTGTCTGAACAGGCTTGCCAGAAATATCCAAAAGTTTGGTCTGGGAGTAAAAAGAAACTTACGATGGTTTGGTTGGGGTTTTTTTAATGTCTCTCTTGACATTGTTTGTTTCAAACCATTTTTCTATGCCCTCTCCTCCTCCCTCCAAGGAAGAGCCACTAGAGATGCACCAGCAGGATTCTGTTCATGGAAAATTCTGTTACTGAATTTTGAAAAGTACGTTTGTCTGAAATATCCACCATAGTGGGTTACACAAAGTACTCTATTATAGAGCATTACATGGCAAGAGGGAATTTGGCTAGAAAAACTGTTTAAGACAAAGAGCACAGAATCACAGTATTGTTAAGGTTGGAAGGGATCTCTGGAGATAATCTCCACCTGCCTTGCTCAGAGCAGGGTCAACTAGAGGAGGCCGGTGTCCAGCAGAGTTTTGAGTGACTTTTGAAGGATGGAGACTCTACAACCTTTTCCAGCATTCAACCTCACAGTATTTTTTAATTATTCTTGTGTTGAAATGGAATATCATGTATTTTGCCCATTGCCTCCTGTCCTGTCACTGACCACCACTGAGAAGAGCCTGGCTCCTTCCTCTTTACTGTTGCCTAAGAGGTACTGATAAGATCCCCCCTGGGCCTTCTCTTCTGTGGTCTCAACATCCCACCTCCCTCAGCCTCTCCTCCTAGGACACATGCTCCCCGTCCCTCAGACATCTTTGCAGCCCTTCCCTGGACTCACTCCACTATGTCTCTTGTACTGGGGAGCCCAGAATGGGACACAGCACTCCTGGCGTGACCTCACCAGTGCTGAGGAGAGGCAAAGGACCTCACCTCCCTCGACCTGCTCACAACGCTCTGCCTAATGCAGCCCAGGATCCCGCTGGTCACCTTTGCCACCAGTGTGCATTGCTGTCTCACAGGCAACTTGTCCACCGGGAAACCCAGGTCCTTCTCTGCCACGCTCCTTTCCACCCAGTCAGCCCGCAGCCTGGGCCGGTGCCTGGGCTTGTGCGACCCCACGTGCAGGACTTGGCATTTCCCTTCCCTGAACATCACGAGACTGCCGTCGGCCCTTTGCTCCAGCCTGCTGAGGCTCCTCTGACTGGCAGCACAAACACCTACCTGCCGGATCAACCATTCCTCCTGCTTTTGTGTTTCTGGCAAACACGCTGAGGGGGAGCTTGGTCACACCATCCAGGTCATTAACGAAGATATCAGTCAGTCTTGGTGCCAGTATTGATCCCTGAGGATACCACCAGGGACTGGCTTCCCAGTGGGCTTCATGCTGCTGCTTACAACCCTTTGAGGCCAGGAGCTCGGCTAGGTTTCAGTCTGCCTCACCGTCTGTTTATCTTCTATCTCATATTCTATCAGTTTGTATATGAAGATGTTACGGGGGTCAGTGCGAGAAGCCTTGCTCAAATTGACAGAAACAACATCCACAGCTCTTCCTTCATCCACCAGGCCAGTCACTTTATCCTAGAATGCTATTGGGTTGGTGAAGCACTGTTTCCATGTCTTAAATTCATGCTGAATACTCCTGATTGCCACCTTGTTTTAGATAATGCCTGTATGAAGCTTTGTCCGTGTGTGGATACGTTTAAAATTGGGAGAAATTACAACAGCGTTTGAAAGTTTGTATATAATATGAGATGTTGACTAACTAGAAATACCATGCTCTGATGCATTTCTTACACGAGAGGGAACAGAAAAAAGAAAGCAAATCTTACAAGCTGACTTTAACAATATACACATAATTTTTCAGATCTTTCAGAAATCTTAATAATTCTTGTTTCTCAAAATATACTGTTAAATGTCCATTTCTACAGACTTACTTTTCCTAGATGATTATCCTAGATGATTATTGGAGTGCTTCTCAGAAGTACAATAGAAAGTCTCAAATAATCATCTTTTTCCATGCACAGTAATTCAAGAGCTATTCATGGTATTCCTTAAGGGGCGTATTTTGCATATGAATTGCACATACAATTAAAATGTAATATTAATTACATATTTACCACCAGATACATTTGTTCTTTAAATTTAATAATGTATGTCCAATATTACTCTGTTAACCAGTTTTTGAGTAGTTGTTAGGATATATAGAGTTAAATTATCAAAAATGACAAAATAACTGAAAATATTTTCCAATTCTTTAAATAAGTTTTGCCACAAATAAATGTATGACTATACAGCTAGATAGAATACTGCAGCAATCTACAGAAAATATCTGAAGTGTATTCAGTGAAGCCAAGGCAAGTTCCTAAAAAGAAATATCTCTATTAGACCCCAGCAGATACTTAAAAAATTAATAAGCTTTCAGGCATCTAAGCCAATGTGAGCTTTACCATTTATCATTTTTTTAAATGCCAGCAAATTATTTCTATTTCAGATTTTTTATTATATTGTCTTTGATTACATTAATTCCAAAGAACCAACATTTCTCATCTTGCCTTATCTCATGAAGAATATTTTAAAACACCATTTGAAATCTAAATGCTTTTATAAGGTAATTTTTGAGGAATAAACCAAACTTGAATTTGGGGACAAGAATTCAGTACTTTCCATTCCAAATGTTTAATTTGTGAGGGTATATTATTGTATTTTGCTATTTTTTTCTTTCAATTAAACTACTAAATAACCTATTTTGGTTTTATCTGCAATTTACATTAGCAGATCTGTTTTGTGAGTTGCCTATTTAGATCTTTTCTCTTGGAAGTATGTACCCAAATATTGAGAATGCCAATAGTTAATCAGCTGAAGAAGGACCTGTGTACCCAAAAACTTCTCCAACTTTTCCAGCTGCATCTGTTGACTGATCAAATACAAGCTTTTATCTTTTTCTACAGCTGTTGGCTATAATGCATGCTTAAGTCACAGCTACAGTAAAACTGCTGCTACTGATATTTACTGTAGTAACTAGAAGTAACTAGTAACTGCTGATGAAGTTTCCCATCAACTTCCTCTTGCTAGTGAAAACTGCTGGAAATGAAGATTGTCAAAATGGATCATAAGCCTTTCCAAAACTTACTTTGACCAGGCAAATGTTCCAGCACTCTTACTTCAATCACTTTCTCAGCTGAGACATGTAGTAAATACCGCTATGCACAGTATATTTGCCACTGTTCTCTTTAAATTTAAGATTTAGAAGCTCATTTCAGACAAGTTCTCCAGTCCCCATTCCAGAACCACAGCCTCTATCTGTGAAGCACATATTTAACAATTTAGTTAAACCCATACTGGCTCTGACTGCCATCTGTAATATCAATTCTGTCCTTCTGGACCATCATCTGTGTTTATCCACTTTACGAATTAGGATAAGATATTACCCACGTCAGATTCAGCCTGTTTTTAAGTGAGGAAAGAAGTTTTTTATATCTCCAGAAACTTTGCACTTATTATTCCTCTGTGAAACTCTATTTCTTTATCCTTTTGTCTCATTAAGCCTTTTAAAAGATACTGAATATTGGAAAAGACCATCAGGTTTTTGAGTTACAGGCTTTTCATAATTTTATGTAACTTAATAAATGCTATAGATAGAGGATTACTATGGCCTCAGCAATTATAACATTCAGGTAGTTTAGAACTAGATGTAGGCTTCTGTGTGTTTGGACATAAAGAATTTATTAGCCTATTTTAAGTAGATAGTCTCCCTTCTCATTGCAATTTGTGCATTTTGCAAAATGTCTTGACATGTAGTTATGCTTCAGGCTGATTTTCCACTCTATTGTGTTTGATGGATGTTGAGCAACAGAAAGATTGGATTTTTGGCTATTTTTAATATAATGTTTAATATAATTACATCTACAAAATTTTTTTATGGATACTCACGCTCTGGAGGGAAATTTTTGGAATGTAGTGTGAAATAGCAAGAATTTATGTAATTTATTTATTATAAATTTCAGAGTTGAATGGATGATTTTCTATTGAGGGAGCTGTATAAAAAGACCAGCAAGCCTTGTTTGTTAGATCAGTATTAGTGAAATAACAACTATCGTGGAAGAGTGTGATGCACTCCAGTTAGCAACTGCCTCTGCAGAATTTTCTGTGACTATTGCTTGCAAGTATAAGTTATCCCTTTCTAAAGCTATTCTAGCTTACAGTAGCTTGCAAAATAGCCATGAAAATAAGTAATATGAACATGGTCTACTGATAGTTCTCTTGGTGTTTCACTAAAATTCACGTTATCAAAGTGTATGGGTCAATATATTTTCTGCTTATATATTACTGTGTATTATATATTTGTAGGTACTTTTATATATGAATAGAAAGAGAGAGGCTATGATTTTCTAATGTGAAGACACTGTGAGTAATATTAAACAATTCATGATAGAGAACATTCCAGCATATTAAATTGATTGTACTGCATTACTTACTGGAAGATATCTTCTCTGACTTTGCTGAACTTTGTTTAAATCCATAGCCTCTATTTGTAATTGTCACTATATATTTTTTGGAAAGAGGTAAATGACAATGGTAAGGAGAAGGAAAATCTTACTACAGCCCTTAAACATCTATATGCTATTCAAGAACCTGCAAGAACTGTCTGTACTAATGTAATTTTGTTCAGATTACAATGGTAACTGTAACTTTAATCCTTTCTTCAGGAGGTGATAAGATGATGGAAGGAGAAGCTGCATATTACTTAAGTTTAGCATACCATTTTGCTGGAGAGCAGCAGACAGCATTATCAGTAAGTTATTTTAAAGTTACTTTAGTTTTCTCAACGCCTTTCTCAACATCTCAGGCATTTTGGAGAGTGGAAAAGACTTGAAGAGTCTTGGCTCGTGAACCTTGTATAACTATGTCTAGTTCTGTAGACAGGGATCCATGTGGCTTAAGCAATTATGGTTCCAATAAATTCCGGAACTGATGGAGTCCATGTTCCATGCTTGGATCTGTAGAAATAATATAAATTGACAATTTATGTTATATGTGACTAGCTTTCCTTTGCCTGTAATCATACATATATGAAACAAATTTTATTTAGTCAGTTTTTTGTATAAAACACCAGTTGTGCAAACTAGTTTGATACAGCATATTTGTGAGCAACAATCAAAAATATATCACATCTTGAGACTTTCAGAACATCAGGAATTTAGAAGAAATATGAATTGCTTTTGGTATGAAAAGCTATAATGCTGAGGCAATCCCTTCTGTTGATACTTGAATTCAAGCTCATCTTCTCATGTTTCCCTTGAGCCTCTCATACATAATAACTGTAAGACAATGATAATTCTACATGTGGAATTCTAGTCTGGAAGGAGAGTTCTAGTTTATCATAGGTCAGTGTGAGAGGTAAGATAAGCAGCAGCTTCATTTGTCTGTGCCAGTCATCAGAGAAGTCTTCCATGATCTTAAAAATCTTGTATGGAAATTTGTTTGAATATTTTATCCATGGTCATTGTGATTAATCAGCTGAATAATTACTATTTCTACTTCTTTTTGTTCCTTTAACTGCAGAATGACTCAGTATTTTATTAATGAACATGTTTTATAGAGATCATTCTTTGTGGTTATTTGTTGTGGTGATTTTTTTTTTTTTTCAGAAATAGACCAGTAGAAGTTAATTCATCATGGGTTTCGGTATTGCTTACTTGGCTTCTGCAGTGTAGGAGGGGTTCTAGATTTCTGTCTTGAAATATCTTCTTACATGTTTTCAATGATTTGTGATGATTTTCCAGAAGTTATTGACCATCTTTATGCATAATTCTTCAGTGCTGATAGGCCTATCTTCTGTATAAATCAACTGAATGCCATAAAGTAGAAGCCTGTGCTCACATCAGTTGCAGTCCAAGTCTGTAGCTGAATATGAACATATTTCAACATTTAAAAGCTACGTATAATTTTATAAAATTATATCTAATAGTTGCAGCAGCAATGAGAAGAGGATATTTAATCTCTTCCAAGAATACAGTATGACAGATTAGACTAGAATTTTTTTGTACTAAAGTTTATCTACATCGTTTTTTGACTTACAGGTGTGACAGCATTCTCACCTGATCAACTTTTCTGTTGAGTTTCTGAGAGTCACAATAAACTGTGTGAATGATAAAGAGTAGCAAGATAAACAAATGTGCTAAATAAAGAAGCTTGCATGCGTTTTTGCTCTCTCCATCACAGGAGAAATTAATTAATGAACAAGACTGCACAATCTACATGATATACAAAGGATCAAACTACCCTTGAAAGTGTCAAAAATACTAGATGTCCTGGCATTGTTTCCTCAGGATCTATTTTGCTTACATTTTATAGCTACTCCTTACCCTTTATTGCTCCCCCATGTCTCCAGCAGTCATTTAGAAGTTCCATTTCTTTCTGTCATGTGCAGAATGATTAACTTTTTAAGGAAGATTCTGAAACCTTGAATTTTGTAATGTACTACTATTAATTCAAAATATTTACACAATAAATTGGCTTATTGTTTTTAGTCTTACAAAAACACCTGACGGGTAAGGAAAACAATACACATTTTTGTTAAAAGGGAAAGAAAGTCTCTGTAGTACAAAAGAAAAATTATACTTTATATTAAATTTATAAAATGTTATTTTAACAGTAATTAAAATACTGGTAGTTTTCAGTGTGAATAATATGGTGGCATTTCTTAATATAATTTCTGATAATATTACATAAGAAACCTGGGAAGTACCTTATTTCAGAAAATATAGTGTGCGCTATAGAACTAAGAAAAAGGGGTCAAATTTTAGTTCCTTTTGTCCTTAACAGTAATCAATATAGACAGCAGAAAAATATCAGTGGTTGATGGTACTGTTGAGCACAAGTTGTCCTCACTCTCCAATTAGAAATCATTGCCTAAAATTTACCCTTCTGTTCTCAGTTTAATGGCCTCTGTATCCAAGGGGAGCTCAGATGCTTACAGAGATGAAATCATTGCATCCTGTTCCCAGAGGACTACTGGTTATCATTACACATAACATGCAGACAATACTGCTAGGAGCCAGTTTGCCTCATGGTAATATGTAGTTCATCACCAGCTTCTGTAGCATGCTAAAGAGGTCTTGCCACACAGCTTGGGACTATTCGGATGTAGGCTCAGGGGTCTCAGCAGTTATTTTCCTGCTTTGCATCAGTTTTCATCTTCTTTATCCTTTTGTGCTGTGGTCCACCTCAGGCAGTCTCCTTCTAGGGGAATCTGAAAGGAGCAGCTGTTACAGATACCATTTCCTCCAATTGTTGCCACTTGGTTCCTTTTGCTGTTCAGCGTGCTACTCCCTCCCCCAACATGCACACTCAGTACCATGCATATAAACTTGTTTCTCTTTCATTCATGTCTTCTAGCAAAGTGAAGAAGCATATGTTCAAAATATTCATTATCTGATGCAGTAATTAAAGGTTGAAATGATTAAGCTACAGACTATTATATCAAAAATATGCAGTCACTTTGTATCAAATGGGCTAGTTTTGTTGAAGGAGGTTTTTTTATTTGCTAGGCACTTGGTGTATAATCTAACATAATCTGTATAAATTAATTTTATTTGATATATATGATTGATTTTCACATACCTACACAGATGTAAAAACATTAAGTGTGTGCAAGTTTAAAAGCCTGAGAACTAATTATGGTCTATAACAGTGTAGTATGTTCATAATATTTTTCATATCATCTGGTTTATAACCAAGCCTAACAGCTTTTCCCCAAAATATAACACAAAATATTAATAGCTCACATTATATAATCTTAAACATTATAGATTTTTGTCAGGGAGAGTTCTCCATCTAGGCTAATTTTAAAGTAAAAATTACTGTTTACTTGGTTTTCTTCAGACTTCTGTAACAAGCTAAGTGTTAAGTAAAACACTTCTGTGTCATTAGAAATCTCACATAAGGTATTGTAATCTAATGCTTGATGTGGGGATTTATTTTTTTTAAAAAAAAGGGGCTTTTAAGAATGCTTCAAAGAGTTGGGCATCAAGGGTTTTTTCTCTTTCAATTAGAGTTGCATGCCAAATCATCAGGAAAATTCCAGTCCTCATCCCTGGCCTGAGCATTAGTTTTTTGTTAAGCGTTCCTTTACTTTGAATATTGAATCCTGTGTTTCAGATATGTTACGTATTTAAATAATAGAGGCAGTGTTCACGAGTACTTAGACTTATGACAAAATAAATGTGGTAATTTATGACATAATGCTACATGCATGAATTGTCAGAATTACAATATACAAGCCACAGGCACAAAATTATTAAGAAAATTTATGGACTTACAAAGATATCTTCACATTCAAAATGACCCTATTAAAGTAATCAGAGGTGATTTATGACCATACAGTTAATTTCTGGAAAAGTCTCTGTCAAAACAACAGAAAATTTTGTCTCAACTCATGCAGCTAGAGAGAACGTAAGTAAATTTATCTGGGATGCAGATATTCTGAAGTTAGTATGCACGATATATCTTATCTAATTATATCCATTATATCTAACTACAGAGATTACACCCATATGTATGTATGAATTTGGTGAATCAAGAAGGATCTTAGCAAATAAAAGAACCCAAAAGGTAGACTGAATGTTATCCTGTTTTCCTCCAAACATTGTGAAAGATAGTTGAGAAGAATGAGCATCATTCCTCTGAGATTTATTCTAGTACTTTGCTAGAAGGCTGAACTTCAAGGCACTTTTCTGTCAATGGTGTCTGAGTAGACCACTGAGTTTAGGTTTAGGCTTTCATTATTGTTACTACAAAAAGAAACACTGGAATGGAGACTTGCAAAGCACATCAAAAGATACTATTCAATAGAAACTATTTCAAACTTCCTTCTTTTAAATCAGACAGATTGTCCTTTATTCATCTATAAGTGATATTTAGCCATTAGTAATGAAGTGTAACATTTTCAGCTTAGCAAATGGCATCACATACTTGAAAAATATTTTAGCATACCAGTTTAAGAAAAGGTCTCATCATTCCTAGAGGCTTCACTTTTATTAAAGTGATTTTTAAATTTTTCTTAAAACCATACTCGTATAGAAATTTTGTATTTTTCATATCTGAGGAATAAAAAAACAGACAAAACTCTGAGTCACCTTTGAAGGTAGGCACTTCTGATTGATCTTGACACTGACAGTGGATTATGTACAGAGAAAGGTTTTCTTCTTGAAGGCCTGGATTTAGTGAGCCAATTCTGAAACTGATTAAATTTCATGTTTCTGGAAGGTCCCACTGCTACTAGGCATTGGTGAAGATAATACAAACAAAATTATGTGAGAAAAATTAGTACTGATAGTGAACTTTTTCCTGACAAAATATACTTACTCAAATACTGATAGAATTAAGAAATTAGAAATTATTTGTGTTGAGAATCTTAAAGAAGACCTGAAACTTCAGGAAAGAGGTGGATGTCTGATCATTCAATTAGTTTCTTGTTGTTAATTTAGCACTTAATTATTAAAATGAAAGAAAGATCTAACTTTTTGTTTGGATATGAAAGTTAAGAGTCTTTTAGCAAAGAAATGATTTATTCTGTTGGTTTAATTTAGATAGTAATTCTCCTATCTTAGACAGTTTCTTGAAAACCTGAAAGAAAAAAAAAAATGTTCTGAGTAGCTCTGAGATGTAATGAGTTTTCCTTGGTAATTTTCTGTGTACCACACAGATTTGCACCTTAGCAATATGGTGTCCACTACAATTGCCTTAGAACAGAGCATCATTTTCCTTTTCAGTCTGTGGTACAAACTACAT